CAGTCAGGATCCGTCTCCAGATGTTGATGCTCGGCTTGGTCAGGACTACGGGGGCCTAGATTTGACCTATTGTGAGTATTTTAGTGGTAGGGAAAACCAGAGCACACATGCAAACTCCACTCAGAAAGAAAGGGTTCGTGCCCAGGACCTTATTGGAGGGAAAACTTTGAAAGTGTATTTAGCTACACAATATTGAAATCCTGCATTGAAACGTTTATTGTAACATACAAATAATAACGTCTTATTAAACGAGCGCGAGGTCTGTACAGAGAAATACAGACCGAGTTGTGGAATCCCTGACCACTCTTTCCACACACAGCCTTACTGTATGTATGCTGAACATCAATTAATAGACAATAACAATAATTCAAACACCAAACAACAACCTATTCTGTTTACTTTGACCATATCTAAAAAATTATTCAGAAATATGTACTATTATCAAAAGGGATGATAAACTCTGCACAATGAATTAAGATTGTGATCAATATGAGAGTTATAAAGATAAGATAAGATAAGATAAGATAGACATTATTGATCTCACACAGGATAAATGTACATGTCACATCTGGCATGGATAGAATCACTCAAGAAGAAAAATAAAACAATTATGTGCAAAGAAAGAAGTGAGCAAATATTTTGAATGCAGGCAAATAGTCGGCTTCCCTTTTATCCAACAGAAAAATCCACAGAATATTGAATTAACAAACTTTAGATAATAGGTCTGTTGGGTGTGACACAAGAAAAAAAACAGAAGAAAAAAGTGTTTAAAATATAGATAATGAGATGGATGTTATATATTAGATTCAAACAAGTTACAGAAGTAAATGGACTTTTGAACGGTATTCTAATTTTCCGAGTTTCACCTGCACATGAACGTCATCATAGCACAACAATCACATAAACTGTGCAGTCCTGACATTTGTGCACCATGAACAAACAGGGACAGAAGGAAGACTAAAAATCGTACATATCCTGTCCGTCGTTTTGCTGGTTGCAAAGACATTTTAACATTAACCCCCAACATCATCCGTCCATCTCCACTGCACCCACCCCCGTATTTATGTCCCTGGACACAGCTCCGAGTGGACTTCACTGCTGCCACAAGTGTTTGCCCAGTACTTTCCAGTGCAGCGGAAAGCGTCCTCCTCTCACGGTTCAGGGCCACTATCTCCAGATTAAATTTTGACTGCACAAGGTCCACTTTCCTCTCAGTCAATATTAGTAAGAACATCTACTGTACACACAGCGCACTCCAGTAACTCGCCTATATTCAGCTGAAGCTTTGGGGACGAGATCTAAGGTTGTTTGTGTTGTTAGTCACCAAAGCCAATAAGACTTTTCTAGTTACCTGTTTTTAAAGGAGGAAGGAATAGAAGCTGAGGTTGTTTTGACATAGGGCTTTTACATTATTATCTATAACGCAGTGTATTACATAAACAATATATTTTAATAATAATTAATTATATCTACATCTTAATGTATCTTTTCATGCTTTCTACTTGTGGTGGACCATTTACAAAAGCTACGTATGTGCTTACTCAAATAAAGTTTAATGTTATTTTCTTATGAATGTCTTTCTGGTGTTCTTGCAAATTCAAAACAGTGTGATACTGCTCCTTTAATAAAAAATATTGAATAATAATAAGTAAATTATATCTGAATTAATAAGTAGTATTAATCAGTCGTATTCATAAACACTGGCTAAAAGATGTGTATAGAAAGCGACATCACTTCTTTACCAGTCACCATTTTCAGCCCTGTACTTTTATTGGTTATCTGGTTATTAGGCGCAGCTTTTGTCAAGTGTCTTAAAGCTGGCGGCTTCACCAGGCAGAGCAGGATCTTGATTTAACAGGCCGCAAGTGCCGTAGTTTTGTTTTGAACACTAAACTTTCTCTAACTGGATTTCATTCCCATAAATGGTAGAAAACCGAGTAGCAAACAAACATATATGGCCTTATTTTGAGTTTTAGAGGCGATTTAATGATGCATGCTCCTGGTATCGCTTTAATCTAGGTATTATTTCTCCGACCGAGGGAAATAATCACTTTATGGCGCTATTTGTGATTCTTAAAACATACATTAAAATAAAATACCAAGATTTTAGAGAGTCCAATATATTAAATGTTAGCATCCTCAAAGATTCTCATGTGATTTTGGTTGTGTGTACCTTACAACATGAAAACTTGCTTTAATGCAACTGTGGTCCTTATTTGCCACACCAGCTACATTTTCAAATGTAGCTAGTGTGGCAAATAAACAGGTGCGCTTGAACACCTGAGATGTACGGTACCTCAAACTAATGTAACTAGAACTAGTATTGCTTTTATTTCTTTTTCTTTTATTTCAAATTTGTGTTTCCAGAAAGCTGTACAGAGTGTGGATAAATCAGAGCGCCTCATGCTCTGCCAGTGTTTGTTGTTGTGAGGTTTCAGATGTTTTTCTCTCGTCATTGATGTGAACTCTCGTCTGTGGCCTCAGTCAGAGACAGTGAACAGAGCTGCGACACAAGAACCACTGTCGCAAAGTATGCTATAAATAATCAGCTTTCACGCGGGTGCTTTCAGGTGAAAGAAAGGGTGATAATTATGCAGGAAAATGCACTTTACAATATTGATGTTTTACATGCGCTATTACAGTACAACAGAAATGTGTTGAATGAAAAAATATTCTTATCAAATATGCATAAAACATTTCAAAATGAAGCCAACATCAAACGATCTAATGAAGGCCCATTCATCATCATCAGTTAAAAGCTTAAACTGTATTAAAGTATTAACCTCACTTTACAACCACAGAAAATTGAATAAAATCAATGAATTCCTCGCTCTAAAAACCCTTATCACATGCATGCATTTTTTCTTCGTCACCAATGAATATTAATAAAAAAGGAGAAACAGAAAAATGTTAATAGAAAATGAAAACCCTTTTTCAACGAGAGCTGCACGCTGAATGGGCATGCTCCATTATCGTAATCAGCGGGGATGGCTGATTACAGCTATTAACTTTGGATTCCTACTTTCAAGCTGCAACAATTAATTTAAGAAACAAACTTGGAGCCATTAACTGAAAAGTCAGAGAAAGTTACAAAATGAGCCATATACAACTAAGCTCTTCATTTATATTTGATAGCTGCCCCCACAGACCCACTGTGCCGACACGATAATGTTAAAGAATACAATGTGCTTTCATTGGCAATAAAGTAATAATCCCAAGTATAATCAGAATAATTGAAATTCTGATATAATTAAGTACTTGGGGGGGTAAGTAACATTTTAAAAAGTTGCAACATTTAAAATACACATTGCTAAATATTAAAATATATATATATATATATATCAAAAATACACAAACACATGTATTAAGATAAAATACAGTTCAATAGAATCAGAGAGTTTGCAGTTTGTTAAAAGTGAATAGAAATGAGTCTTCAAGACAAGTTTACTCATATTCAATGGTTTTTTGTGGTTTTGAGAAAAGCCTAACCCTAACCCGTGAGAGCAATCCATAATTTAGGAGCCACTGATTCTAAAGTTTGGACTACGGGATGGTCCCCCCATGAGCTTATCGACAGACCTGAGACCGCAACAGGCCACTTTTTATATATGAATCTAAAATTTAATGAAATAGTCTGCACACTTCTTTTTTCAAGCCCACTGTACAGTCTCTCATTAATGTACAAGGTATAGCAGCAATATGTGAGAAGCTGTAAAACCCCTCACCACACAATATACACTTCTCTAACCACCTGAACTCACAACTGGGCAGAGATATCAAACTTGTTCGTTGTAGAGTGCTGCTGCAGCTGTCAAAATCAGCAGAACCGAACAAGGGGCGTATATTGTGGCAGTGATGGGGCCTGACGAAGAAAAGGCCTTTTGATTAGAATTATAAACAAAATAAATAGCATAAATATCACTGTGCCTCATACGATGTAAGTTTTGAACAGTCAGCCATGATCCTCATTGAGATTCTTCCTTACGTCTCTATTTGCTTTGACGACTGACGAGCGTAATTCAGGCTCAAATGGATTTTTCAAAGCCATTTATTTGCTTTGTCACATTTTCCAGCTCAAGCAATTGCTTGGAGCTGCAAATTGAGAAAAGGTTGAGTATGCCCCTTTTACATATTGATTACTCCTCTCAGAATTGATTCAAATCAAACCAAACCATCTAATTCCAATTAATTAACAAGTCCACAGAGTGAAAACAAGAAGAAGTAGTTAATTGTTGTTACCTTTCTGAGGGAAACAAACTCAATAGGCGTTGAATACTTAAAAGACACACTGATTCAAACTTGCTCTATTGTAATTTTGTTTTGAGAACTAATGGGTGTATCTATCAATCCAAGTGCCACGAAATAACATGTGCGATTTGAGGTGTTTAGTTCTAGGACAGTGTTTCCCAACCAGGGGAAATCGGATCCTGGAGGATGTGTGAGAGTATTACAGGGGATACTTGAAATGAGTTTTGAAACTTGCAGACGTTGATGGTAAGAAGTTAATATGATTGGGTCAGCTTTGATTGCCAACCCCTGACCCAGAAAACTATTTAAAAAGGGTATGTAAATGAATGAATAAATGAATAAAACATGCTAATTAGCTGAAAAGGTTATGAACTCACTTGGTATATCAGTAAGGCCTAAAAAAAAACTCCCATAACATCAGAAGGTATACTGGCGAAGGGGTATACAGGGCAGCAAAGGTTGGGAACCACTGCTATAGGATGTCATGAAAAAACAATATCAATATTTGTATCTTTTTCCCAAATGTCACAACCCTATACTGTACAGACAGGGATAAAAAAATCTTTATTATTGTAGCCCTGTATTGTAGGTTGTGGTTCTTTGTGGATTATTCTTTATTCTTAATCACAAGTGAGCTCTTGTGGCGTGCATCACATTAGTATTCATAAGAGCTGAGTAAAATGTTTATAAGCTATGAGACGTGCGTTGCATTCAGGGCACAGTAGCACGGTTCTCATGGTCAGGAAGTCTTTTCACTTCAGTGTGAAGCTCATGCCGTTTCCACACTGGAGATTTTCACATCTCAGTTTAAGCACCGCACCAGTCTGGGAAGATGTTCAATGTCTGTTAATTCAGGCTGGACTTTTTGCATTAGGGAGTTTGCTCGGTTCATTTGTTTTCATAAAGACCTAGAAATGGGTCTTTATGAAAACAGTGTTTAAACTGAGATTTCCTTAGTGTTTGTGGGCTAACCCAAATCATTACAGCATTATTTTAATTTTTGTTTGTTTTGGTAAGTCAAGGTTTTGGAAATACATTGAGTCATAATTTCTCAATACACGGTTTGATACGTTGAAGATCTTGGTTTTCTATAGAGTTGTGCAAGCTTGGCAATAACTAAACAGCATCATAAGTGCCAGTGCAGTCTCAATTTCAGGGGTAAAAAGTGTCCCGGTATCAATTGGAGCAAATTTCCTTAAATGAGCATTTGTTCCGAAGAGGGTTAGCTTTTGGAAAAGGGGCAAACATGTTGCTAAGATGGTTGCTAAGGCGAGCTTAAGTTTCCCCCACAAATTAAGACACCTTGTGGCTCATATCTGGATTTACAATATAAAAATATAACCCCCAGAATCATAGTGAGCACTGATCCACAGATTGTTTTAAGCCCATAAAACTTTGTCCATTCCCTGTTGGGCATCATTGAGCCAGAGGACAGTCTTGTCCATCTATACAGTATATGACTTTACTAAAAACTGGGTGGAAGAAGGTGCCAGAATGGTGAAAACCCCATTCAAATAATACAACATGACTTTTATATCTAATATTCCAAAGTCTTGTGATCCTGCAGAGGGGTGTGACACACTCAAAGCAGACAAACAGCATTCCACGTGCACAGCCTCAGGGAGAGCAGTGGGAGAAGTCACACATTATTTTAGAACTGAAGTTTGCATGAGGCCGGGCCTGTGATCGCAATTACAAAACAGAAGGTTGTAACATTAACCACATAGCTCACAATATGTTTGTCATGTACACTGACATGCCCCATTTTCAACACTCATTTATCAAACTAGAGCTGTGTTTAAATGCTCCCACTGAGACCCTGCAGCAGCACCTCCTCCTGCCTGACTCAAGATGGATCAAAAAGCGCATTACTAATCCATGTTTCTCAGTTTGAGGAGGAAATATACAACTGATGCTACTATAGTGAACTGACTGAGTAAATCAACTTAAAAGCATCTAATATTGTTTTTATACCAATGTCAATGTGCAATATAGCTTTATTTATGTAGCACATTTATAACACCAGCTGCCCAAAGTCCTTCACATGCACAAGTTAAAGTTCCACAGTTTGGGGGCAGCAACAATAAAGTCCCGACCTCCATGCGTTTTAAAGCAGGACCTGGGCATGTTCAGTACAAGCTGGTTTTCTGACCTCACTAATCGAGCAGGAGTATAAAAAAGATAGCAGCTCGGTCAGATGTTCCGGGGCTAAGAAATTTAAACATTTAAACACGAGAATCCAAATCTTAAACTCAACCTTGAATATGACAGAGAACCAGTGAAGTGAGGCTAGCACAGGGGGTATGTGCTATGAACAACGACAATGACCAATTAATGGTTGATCACATGTGTTTATGATCAAAGGGAGGAGCATGAACGATGATCTTCACAAAATGGACCAACGCGGACTTAACAGGTCATGGTGACTTCCTTTTACATCCATTGTTTTGACTATAATAATGTCTTCCAATGTGAGACGTCTCAAAGATCCCATCTAATGTCCTTATTTTCGACAGTGCTCTCTCTTGTGCCTGTGCAGAGGCATGAGATAAGATAGACTTTATAGACTTTATTGATCTCACACTGAAGCATTACCAATTGGTTGTTCAGCTCTATATTCTTTTATTAACAAGACACTAAACTAATTTAAACTTTCTACAATGTATAGGGTCGACCTCTTTATAAATTGCATAACAGCTTAAACTAAAGAGTGTGGCTGTAATGAGCGCCACATCTGTTTTCTGGGGGAATCTGCAGCTCGTCTGTGACTTGTTGACAGCTCTGCGCCTGTAGCGGTGTTCCCTGGGTGGACTGGTGTTCCACATCCACATGTCGCTGTGGATTTCTATATTAAGGGCATCAGACAGAGCTCTCATCAGCTGCAGCTTGGATCCACTCGCTTGAATAAAACATGGATACACACAAGATACTTCGACTGAACATGTGCCATTTCAGAGGCGCAAAAGCAGCTCCCAACTCATCATGGATATCAAAACTAAATAATATACGACTATGCAAACATATTATGTAACACCAAGTCCTGAGTTATTTAAACAAATATCATATTGTGTATGATGCAATGTTTCTGAAAGCTACAATAAGGCAGCCTTTATTCACTAATAATGGTGTTGTAGCACGCCTTTAAAGCTTGTTTAGGTCTGGCTCCAAGCTACATCACTGAACTTTTAAACTGCTACAAATACTTGCAGCCCCTTACACTGAGGACTTCAACCTCATGGAAGTGCTGGGTGAAACACCTGAAGGTGTCCGTCCCTCTACCAGCAGAAGAGGTGGATGGACTCTCTGAACCAGCTGTGAAACTGGTCCCAGGCATTACAACCCTGAACAGCTGGAGCCAGGAAAGTTTCAGCAGTCTAGCAAAACTAGAGAGTACCATCTGCGGGAAGAGGTGGAAACACTGAAGAGGATGAGAGCGTCTGACACGGGGAAGTGTCCTAAAGACGACACCATTCTTGCTCTACAAGTTTCGCATCAATGAGCGTCCAAGAGTTTGCAAAGAGGTCGAGGACGTGAAGTTTAATTTGCTCAACAAAACAAAGCATATCATCTGTGCCCACAAGATCCAACTCAACCAGCAAGCCAAAGCAAAGCGAATACATCACTGCTCAATGAGGAACTAAAGGTACAGATCCATTCAGGAAATCTGAAAATAGAGTTTGAAAAGCCAGGTTGCTGAACTCAAAGACATGACTGAGAAACAGAAAGCAACTTCTCTCCAGCAACACCAAGAATGGCGTTTGGAAAGACAATTCCCTTGCTTACAAACAAAGGACGCTCAGACTAAGGTAAGGCTGAGGCAGAAAGCAACTTCAGAGGTTTCTTTGAGAAACCTTAAACAAGAACTGGTATAGCTTTCGAAGAGATGTGGCAACCTGGATGGGCGACGTCAAGAGGAGGCTCAAGACAAGCTTCTGATCTGCTAGGAAGTCCAGCATAACACATTTCAGCCTCTGCAACAGCAAATTTGAGAAAAAACACACAAACTTAATTTCCTGTAATGTTTTCTTCAGCTTTTGGGTGATAGCTCACACGTTTAAGTTGGAAAATTGGAAACAGGACTAGTATCATAACCATCCAATCAACTAGTTTTGCTATGCTGACATGACCATAGCGTTTGCCGAATTGAACATGAGCTAGCGCCACACAGGTGCACTGCTCACAGGTCTCTAAGTTACATGTATCCAATAGTTCAAATACGAAGTTCTGATACAATACTGTTTTTGGAAAACTTAAAACCCCCTTTAAAACCCCCTTTTAAAACAAGGTTTAAAGCAGCTTTAGGAGCAGCAGGTGCCTCTGTCTGCATGTCTGAGAGATGTTGGTTCATTTGAAAGCAGCCATGTGCTGACCCAGCTCTGCAGTAGTTACATGTCTGAGCTGTCAGCCTTGTCTGTGAGAGAAGTGAATGAACTGGACACCATGACTCATCCAGAATGCACACTGCTGTACGTGCTCAGACCAGAGCTGAGCCGAGGTCCTTGAGGATTACTGCGTTTATGGATAAATGGAAATACAATCACCTGAACCCCATGACTGGTCAGACTTTCTCCAGGCAGTGTCTGCTAAGTGCTGAGGGCAAATCGAAGGGAGACAAGCAAGGATGAATAATGTAGACTGAGGAAAACCTGTCAATCAGGTTTGATCCAGGATATGGATATAGTAGAAACAACCCTATATCCAATTCACTTTATTTATGTAACACATTTCACATATAGTTTCAGGGCAGCACAATGAAAAGAGAAAAACAATTGGATATTTGAATACTTTACAATCACACCAGTCCTTAAACATTATCAACCATTAAAATCAAATAAGAGAACAATAAGAATCAGGGACTAATCAAACCAATAATAGAAAACACAGAGGACCACAAAACTCACACCATGTTAAAAGACGAGACATTGAACACTCCAATCAGGGAAATGGTTTGGGGATGGTTCAAGAGCTTTGGACCAGCCACAAAGAAGGCCCTGTCCCCCTGGTCTTAGGCAGTCTGGTCTTAGGCACCATAAGCTCAATGGCCTAAGCTTTAAAAACAAACTATAAAATAAATTCTGCAACGATAAATTCTAAAAGGAACAAGAAGCCGAGCAGATTCAGTGACAGACTTATACATCCTTACTGTGTGAAGGCGAGGTCTTTCCCTCCAGCTGCTGTCAGACTGTACAATGAGAACTGCTGAGCCTGTACATGTCATCTCATAAGTAAATAGTAAATACTGCAATCATGTGCAATGCGCAATACTGGAATTTCAGAATGTCCACTGAATGTCACTTTATCTACTTTTTATCCTGCCATATATGTATAATAATTTACACTAAACAGATATAGATATATTTACTTTCTGCTATTATGAAGCGTTTAAAGCAAGCTAAGAAGCATAGCACCTACTTATATTGTATATTTTGTGTGCTCCCTGTGTGCTCTTACTGCTGTCGTGTATGTGCGCCGCAACCTTCAAATTTCCCCACTGTGGGACGAATAAAGGTTCTCTTTTCTTATGGCATCTAATCTAATCTTAAGCCAGTGCAAGGAAAAGTGTTTTTGCTTCCTGTAAAAAAAAATGGTGCATTTGAGTTCTGCACTAACTACCTAACAGAATGTGCTTTTTTGTTGCTCGCATAATGTGATTTTAGTAGTAGAAGTAGTAGTAGTAGTAGAAGTTTATTTGAGCAGTTTATAATGTATTTTTACAGGTACATATGATTTCAAGAACAAAGCTCAAGAGGAGAAGGTCAAGAATGTACCGTTTTCAAATGATTTGCAGTAGTCCAGGTGAGAGTCAATAAAAGCCTGCACACAAAGATTAAAAGACAAAAAAGGCGTAAAGCTTATAGCTCAAAGTGATGACAGCAAATGCTGAAAACCAATTTGTTTGTCCAATTTAAAATAATTATCCATAAAGTAACAAACACCAAAGATTGTCAGTGACTTTGGGGCTCACATGTTTTTGCCTGTATACAATTTGTGAGCTACAGGTAAAAAAATAGTAGCAAGTTCCCTGGCACCTGAAAACTGTGTTTCCTCCGTTAATTAATTTGTTCAGCTAAAACAAATAGGAAACAAATACTGTAGGGCTGAAACTAATTATTTGACTTTGTTGTTTGTTTTTGCATTGCCTTGATTATTAGAAAAATGTAAGAACAATTTATGTAATTACTTAAACACAGAGCAGGGAGGAAAAGAGGCTAATCAAGAACTAGGTTGGTCTTTTGAGATTGCTGTTGTTTTAGCGACAGATTCATATGTTATAACACACAGAAACACATCCTTATTTATTATAACTATGAATCAAACTTCTATTCATTTACAGTTAAGGATAGGTTCAACTTTGATGCTGTGTTGTCCTTCCATCAGTGACGATAATTGAGCTGAGAGTATTATTGTAAAGGAGATACTGGATATGAGTTTCCAGAGCATCAGGATGGCCTTTGCAATGATTTTTAAAGACTGTATTTTAGAAATGGATCAATGCCATCCAGGTCACTGGCTTTATCTCCTACATTGCAAGGGCCATTCAAAAACAATTTGTATAATGTAACAATAAAAAAAGAAAAACATAATCAATCATTTTGTAGATGTTTTATGTTTAAAATGTAATGTACTCTTTAACATTAAGGGGGTCCTATTGCCAAACCTGAAAACATACTTACATACATAAACTCTTGTGCTCATATACTCTTTTGTAAGCAGTCGGCCAATAGAGGCTAGCACTGGAGGGTCAGCCACTACAGGCTCCCTTCAAGATCACACACTAAAAACAAACAATAAATTTAATGATCATTAAGCTTACATAGAGAGGACCAGGGCAGGAAGTAGTAGCTGTTGTTGTTTAACTCAGCACCACAAATGAATCAATTAGCAAAGAGAGATTGGAGCGGTAGTCATTCCTTGGCGGCTAAAATAACAAACACAAACAACAAACAATTAAAGGTTGTGTTATTTTGATTAAAATGCAAAAATACAGTGTTTGTATCCGTGTGAACCACAGATAAACAAAGCCTGTAGTTTGATTTAGATCCCAGTGATTATGTATGATAGAGCAGAGGCGTCTGATTTCACAGCTTGATTGAACATGGACATTTATGATTCTTGTAAGAAACCAGCCGATATATAACAACCACCCCATCTTACTTTGAACCCAGCGACCCGCATCATGTTGAAGTTGAGATCTCACGCTGAGTCGAGGCCGAAGGGTGAACGCAGCGAGCCGCATTTAAACTGTGTGTAAACTCTCACAGGACTGACAGACCGTAAAAAGTCTAATAAAACAATTCAATTCAAAGCTAGTGAAGAGCAATATGTGGTCAGATATGCCAGAGGCTGAGTGAGAGGCAGACATGTTATTATAAAATTGTAAATGTAGGTGGAGTTAGCTGGAGGAAAAATGCCACATGCACATCATAGCCTTAGCTTTCTACTCAGAGGGAGTCATCCATCTCTTTTTATTACTGAAATATCTGATGGGAAGTATGAATTATTTGCATCAACATGGGCAGGTAAAGGTGCACACAGGCCAGTCATCCCTGAAATCATATGGGGAACTCCTTTCTGCTTTGAGATTCGGGCCCGACAAATCTTTCTGTTTGATCAAAGTCAGCGTTGTTATCTGTGCTGAAATGGCTTATTACATGTGTTTGCATCATATAATCCTCTCAGAAGTGTACATTGTGAAATATCATACACTTAGAAGCCCTGGCTTTCAGCCTTTCTTTTCAATTGAAATGTAAAGAGAATAGAAAATGAACAAAGCAAACAAGTTTATGTGCTGAATCCAAATCACCCATAGACGCCTACAGAACTTGCTGGACTATCAAACACATATATATATATATATATATATATATATATATATATATATATATATAAACTGCACCAGCCACATTTGAAGAAGACTATGAAATTCTGTGACAACACATATTTAGGTGCATACTTCATTTGCACTGCTTTCATAAGTCACTTTTCTCCATTGTATTTACTTATTTTCATATCAGAGGCTAATTGCTTGCGATGCGGATTGCTCATGCATAATGCAACAGGTCGCAGAAGAGAAAATTTCTCCTCTTCGCACAAACATCTCATGCCTGATAATACAGTATATATGCCGGAAGTCTATGTTTAAATGTGATGGAAAAGTACTTATAAGATGTTCAAATATAAAAGATGAGTGGAGAGTATGAACATGAAGCTTTGAAGAAGGTTCTATTGTAGCAGCAGTGAATCGACCCTCCATGTCTGTCTTTGGTCTGCTCCCGAATGGTTCCATCAATTTTTGTGTCTTTTGTCCCCACCACTCAGTCTGTGTATGTGCTTCTGTGAGACAAGAGAGCTCTGTCTTTGAGATCTGGTTGTTTGAGTTGTAAACACTTTTTTTTTCGCAGAAGAACATTCATACAACAAAACCCAAAAAGATGTGGAGAGATACAGTACATACTTTTAAGGGATACAAC